CGCGTTCCAAAGCAGCACCAAGATTGAAGCATTGGTGAGATTGGTTGGTGGGGTGCCCTCGTGCTGTCGTCCTTCTCGCAGTGTGGAGTGTTAGAGATTTCTAGAAAACTCTTGTCGCGATCGCAAAGCAGCACCAAGATCGAGGCCCTGGTGAGGCGGACTGGTGAGGCGGACTGGTGAGACTGGGATGCTATTGCTGGTTTGGGCTGAAAATAGATGTGGTTTGTTAGGTGCATGCGCCTTTTTTCGTCTTTGTGCAGCGGTTTCACCTGCTATGGTGTATGGACGTTTCGTTTCATGGTCATCTCGCTTTTCCCCTTGTGCCATGATTTGCATGGCATGGCACGGTATGGCATGGAATGGCATGGCGTGGCATGGAGTGTGATGGCGTGGCATGGCATGGCGCATGGCATGGCGTGGCGTGGCATGGCATGGCGCATGGCATGGCATGGCGCATGGCATGGCATTGCGTGGCATGGCATGGCATGGCCCATGGCATGGCATGGCGCATTGCATGGCATGGCGTATGGCATGGCATGGCGCATGACATGGCATGGCATGGCATGGCATGGTATGGCATGGCATGGCGCATGGCATGGCATGGCATGGCATGGCATGGCGCATTGCATGGCATGGCGCATGGCATGGCATGGCATGGCAGCGCGAGGAGGTGGACACGATGACGCAGAGGGATCCGGGCGCCAAGGCGCTCGTGTTCAGCCAGTTCACGTCCATGCTCGACCTCATTGCATACCGCCTGCACCAGGTGCGACCTCTTGTTGCATCAGGTGTACCTATGGCGTACCACTTGCATAGGGAGGGATGACGCCAGCAAGCCATTGGATCCTTCTCAGCTGGCCCCCGTGTTCAGCCAGTTCACATTCATGCTCGACGTGGTTGCATACCGCCTGCACCAGGTGCGACCTCTCATAGCATACGATATATCCATCTATCTGCTTCCTTCTTAAGTCAAGCCTCTCGTGTTCAGCCGGTTCACATCCATGCTCGACCTCATTGCGTACTGCCTGCACCAGGTATGACCTCTCAGTGCATACCGCTTGCACCAGGTGTGGCTAGATCCGACTTATGGTACACCTGCCTATATCATGTATGTTACCAGCTAGCTGCAAGGTGCTCTTAATCCTGTCTTTTTTACTAGCCAGGTCTCATCTCTGGCTCAACCTCGTTGCATACCTTCCTGCACCAGTCTGGCGGGACTCTGCTGCAAGACCCCCTCCCCTCCATCCCCTCCCCTCCTCTTCCCTCCCGCCCCCCCTCATGCTCTATGAGTTGTTGTTGCACACACTCCTCTCGTTGTCCCTCCTCGCCCCGTTCTTCCTCGCTCCTCCCCTCCCTGGTTACTCACCTGCAGGTGGGCATCCGCTGTGTGAAGCTGGACGGCAGCATGACCATGGACGCGCGGGATCGAATCATCTCCACCTTCACTCGTGACGCTGACTGCCGGGTAGGTTTCTGACTGACGTGCGGGAGTCTATTTTTGTACGGCATGCTGTGAGTGGGGAGTCTATTTTTGAGGCGCCTCAAAAATAGACTCCTCACGCAGGTTTTTGTAAGGCATGTTCTGAGTGGACAAGCGGCGCTGACTGCAGGGTAGGGTTTTGTGGGGCATGCTTTTGAGCGGACAAATGGCGCTGACTACAGGGCTGGTTTCTGTAGGGCATGTCTTTCACTGTGGGGTGTGTGGCGTTTAGTTTGAGGCGCCTCGAAGCTAGACTCCTTTCTAGACGGCAGCATGATCATGGACGCGCGGGATCGCATCATCTCGACTGCACTCGCGACGCTGACTGCCGGGTGGGTCTGTGCTGGATATGCTCTGAGCGACTGCAACGCTGAGTCCCGTTTCTGAAGCCCAGAGTGCAATTCTTCGCTGCATCCCACATGGCTTCTTGTTTTGAGGCGCCTCAAAACGTTTTTGAAACCCAGAGTGCAATTCTGTGCAATTATTCGTTTTCTTCGCTTTGAGGCGCCTCAAAACTAGACTCCCGTTTTTGAAACCCAGAGAACAATTTTTCGCCGAATCCCACATGGCTTCTTCCTGTGGCAGCTCTGGTGAACTCAAACGCCATGAGGCGTTTCTGATGAGACTCGAGGCAGGTGGGCGAGGTGGCTCTCGAGGTGACTTATGAGTCGACTCAAAAGTCTCGAGGCAGGCGGGCGGGGTGGCTCTCAACCTTCCTCCTCGTGTCGCTTTCCCCTCACTGCCATTCTCCCCTTTCCCCTTCCTTGTCCGTCCTCTCCTCCCTCCCTCGTATTTCCTCTCCTCCTTCTCAAACGCCATCAGCTCTTTCTGATAAGTCTCAAGGCGGGAGGGGTGGCGCTCAACCTCACTGTGGCTTTCTCCTCACTGCCATTCTCCCCTTCCCTGCCTTTTCTGTCCTTTCCTCCCTTCCTTGTCTTTCTCCCCTCTCACCCAGGTGTTCCTGATGAGTCTCAAGGCCGGAGGGGTGGCGCTCAACCTCACTGTGGCTTCGCATGTGAGTGGCATTGCTTTAATCAAGTGTGGCGGTGTTTTGTCAAGTCTTAAGGTGCCGACTTCCGGTCTAGAATCTAGAAAAGTGCTCAACCTCGCTGATACACTGCATGGCATGGCATGAATGACCGCTGCCTCCCCGTGTGTCCTGCTGCCTTTCCTTACTTTCCCTCCTCTCCTCCTCTCCAGGTCTTCTTTTTCCCCAGGTCCTTCTGATGGACCCCTGGTGGAACCTTGCAGGGGAGCAACAGCCTGACAGCAGAGCCATAGTCCTCGTTCTCCTCCCCCTTTCCCCTCCCCCTTTCCCCTCCCCCAAACCCCCCAGGTCTTTCTCATGGACCCCTGGTGGAACCCAGCAGTGGAGCAGCAAGCGCAGGACAGAATTCACAGGCTCGGGCAGTTCAAACCTGTCAGGTAGGCTCGGAAGGTTTAGGCCCATGACGTAGGCTCGTGCCTAGCAAGTTCTGTGTCGGTGCCTTATCCAGTTTGACTGGATGGTCTAGTCCGCTTTTGACTCAACTCAAATGACCTGGTGTAAGCCTATTCTCTCCGCACTTGCATGATTCCACCCCTTCTAGCTTTTTGAGTCGACTCAAAAGTGCGCTGTCGAGTGTGGGGTGGGGTTGTGGTGACCTGGTGTAAGCCCTCTAAGTTGCGTGTCTCTTTCCCCTTCCTGCCACCCACTATTATCACCCCTTCCATCGTATCCCCTTCACAGGGTGACTCGTTTTGTGATAGCGGGAACAATAGAGGAGCGCATCATAAAGCTGCAGGAGAAGAAGCAGCTGGTCTTTGACGGGTGAGTGACGGATTATCTCTACCTCAAAAGTCTATGCTGGTGCTCTAGGGAGACTGACCTTTCATGTGGGCCCTGACTCAGCCGTCATTATCTTTTGCACAGACCCCAACACCTCCTCCCCCCCCCCCCACCCTCCTTCTCCCCCTTCTGCCCCCCTGACCCTCCCCTCCCCTCCTGTGAGTCCTCTGCAGCACGGTGGGAGGGTCGGCAGAGGCATTGGGTCGACTCACAGAGGACGACCTGCGCTTCCTCTTTGCCAGCTGATGCTGCTTCGTCAAATGGGCAATCCGTGCCCGTGCGGCCTTTCTTCGCAGCCTTTCATTGCTCGTGGTATCAGCGTTGGTTCGAGTGAAAGACATTATGACACCGGTTCCACTCTTGGCATTTGCCAGCCCCCAGCCCCCAGCCCCAGCCCCCAGCCCTCCCTGCTCTCCTGCACCCTTGCCTGGATCGCTGCCATTCCAATAACGCCTCCAGTCTAGGTGAATTCCTCGATGTACATAATGGTAGTCTTGTTTCGTTGCAGTCGTCGTCCGACCGACCCTGTGTTGATTTCAATAACGAGACAATGCCTTGGACAAGCTTGAGAGAATGAGAGGCGGACGGGAAGGGAGCCCCACCATCACCATCACTCCGCTCCTCACATATTATAATTCTGAGCAGACTGGGACCCAACCACATAGCAAGCTGTTGGAGAGCACAGTAGGTAGATCAAAGGTGGTAATGGGCACAATAGGTCGATCCTCTGGGCTCCACCCAGCCAGCACAAGCAATGGTTTGCTGAAACCAGCACTTGGTAACTCTAACACATTCACAAGCACATCTTACAGGCAACTACTTGCCCGATACAGTAAGTCAGCTGCAGTACAGTACTTCCCTAGAGTGTAGTAGAAGTAGCCCATTCGGCCTGAATACGTTGCTTGGAGCGCTTATTGCCTTGATCCATGTGGGATAAGGGGATTGGCCGAGAAGATTATTCCATCATTATCGGCATAGCACCAGTCTCCAGGGTGGACCATCACCCCCTGAATTTTCACAGGAACGTTCCTCTCCCCTTGCCCCTTCTTCACGCTCTTCACAGGACACGTGGCAAGCCCTCGCACGTCCACGTTGCACCCGCGAATCTCGTCCACGTCACGCACGCACCCGCTGACAAAAACGCCCGCCCAGCCGTTCTTAGCCGCCTCGACGGCTAGATTCCCGCCCAGTAACGCGCAGCGCCGGCTCCCTCCACCGTCGATTATTAAGATCCGCGATTCACCGGGCTGCTCGACCTCGGAGCGCACTAATGTGTTGTCTTCAAAGAGCTTTAAGGTGACGACTCGGCCGCAAGATGCGGTCCGGCCGCCGTAGGAGACGAGGCCAGGCTCTAGAACGCGGATTTCGCCTCGCATGACCGCGTCGTGATTGTCGTCGCACAGGTCGCACGTGGCGAAACTCATTGTCGAAGAGAAATCGAGGTTTGGTAGTAACTTGGGAACGCGCGCAGTTGGTGAAACGAGTCAGGGCGAAGCGGCAGAAGGAGCCGCGAGAGCTGATGTCAGCTTGAGCGAAGCGGGGATAACTAGCGCACGGCAAGAGCCCCAGCAGCACTGCCGCCGCTGTATGATCGATAGACTACTAGCGCTGTTTGCGACGGCCACTGTGCTGAACGGGAGGGGGAAGTGGGGAGGAAGAGCGTTCTCTGCTATTCGGTTCTCTGAAATGAAATTAGAGCGACCTTTGTTTGGAGGGCGAGATGCGTATGGTATGCATGAGATGGGATGCGGTGAGTTGGGATGGGGTGGGCTGGGCTGAGATCAGATGGGATGCAATACGGCGTGACCAGCCAGACGCCTCAGCATGGATGGGATTGGGGGAACACTGGGATAAAAGGTAGAACCAGCGCATGTTCCCCACGGGAACATGGGGATGAGTTGGAGCTGAGCTGAGCTGGTTGAGAATTGAGTCAGCACTGCGTCAACTCAGTCTGTGGTCCCCCCCACTTCGCCCCACAGCCCAGAAATCCTCTTTTATTGAGACGCTCGTTGCGTATAAGAACTGCGAAGATGTAGGTGAAGATTATATCGTTGTGTCCGAGAAGTTCACAATCGGTTGCAACTAAGCTGACCAATCCGAGCCACGCATCGCATCTTTGACAGCTTGCGTAAAACCTCCCTACTTCCCCCATTCCCGACGTAAGCCCCGAAGCAAAAACGGGGCTGTTTGCTCGAAGCACACACCATAACCCTAACCTAGTAACGACGCGACACGATGGCCCTTGGAGTCAACGCAGGTTGCTTCGTTTCGTTCGGCTCCCATGTTGAAGCAACCCAAGCCATGCACCATCGGGGCGTAATGGAGTGATTTACAAATCGTCAGTCCTCATTACAGCTCATCAGCAGGAACTATCTCCATGCGTGCTACGCAACGACACTAATTTCCCTCAGATCAGAGAAGCTTTAGACGCACGACAGGCAAGACCGCCGCTATTTTGAACCAGTCGTTCTCGTCTGTTGCTGGCCGAGGCTAGGTTAATGGCGCATTTCGAGGCTTCCATGAACCAACTCGACGTAGACTGCCTCGCGACTATCTTTTCGTTCCTAACTCCCGCGCAAATCTGCCGCTTTGCGCACGTGTCGCGCACGTGGTCGGCAGCAGCAGCGTCTGACGTCAGCTGGGGCCGCCTTCTTCCCCCTCTTTGCGGCTCGCCGTGCTTCCAGAAAGCCCTTGAGGCGCATCGCGTAACGGCATGTTCGAGATGCCGGCTGACGTCAGCCTCCCCTCGTGATGACGACAGCAGCAGCTCCTCTAGTGGCGGGCCGAGCAGAATAATGTGCCGCAGTAGCAGCAATGATGACGTCAGCAGCAGCAGCAGCAGTGTTGACGCCAGCAATAGATGCAGCAGCGGCAGCAGTGAGGGTTGTAGATGCCACGTCAGCAGTTTCACACAGAAATGGGTGTGTCAGAAGCTTTGTGAAGGGGTTTACGTGGACGATGGCCGCTTCCACGTAAGCATGGACCCGTTCACCGCTACAGTCACAACCTGTGTGAATGTAGCGAAGGTGCTTGAAGTTGTGGGCATGGGATCAAACGGTGGTGATGCTGACGATGCACTTTCCACAGAATGGTTCCTTGAGACGGGTCGTACGGCGCCTAATAACGAGGATCCTCAAAACGAGGAGCGAGGACCACGTGGCAGGCCACAGCGACGCAGAAATGCCGAAATCGGGGCGGAAGAGGACGAGCTGCTTATAACGCGGACGGGGGCGCCGCAGCAGCAAGAAACAACTCTCCCCATGGAAATATTAGTCGAAGTGAAAACCCAACCCTAATGTGGGGGAAGTCGGCATTCCCAGGCGCAATTTTCCCCGCGTCAGTCCCCCACCTGTTTTCCGCCATCCGCTTTCTTATCAGGGGCGACATTGCGCTCCCCTTTCCCCCTCCCGCCCGGGCGCGTACGAGGCGAGTGGCGCATTGCGCGCGACCCCGCAGAGGGGCGAGTGGAAGCAGGCGGAGGAGCGGCTGTTGCGGGAGGCGGAGTGGGCGGAGGGCGCGGAGGCGGAGGCCTGGCGGGATTTGGGTTTGGGGGCAGTCAGCGGGGATGACGCGCGCGGAAAGGGAAGGGGGAAGGGGAAAGGGCGGAAAGGAAGGAAAATGGACAAATCCGCGGATCTGGTGGGCGCTCTACGAAGCATCAGGGGGATTGGGCGGAGGGGGCTAGGCGTGCAAAGTAGGGGATGCGGGGACTTGGCTGCAGGGGGCTCGGCGTCGGATTTGACCGCCGGATCAAATCACCGGGACACGGCAAGGGGTGTTGGTTCAGTGAAGGACGAGCTTGAGCAGGCGATGGATGACGTGGCAGCGAAGCTGGCGTTTTGGCGAAGCACTCAGCAGCGAAGCGGCTTTAAGTGCTGGGAGGAATGGCCGCTCACGAGCGGCGCGCAAGTGGTAGTCGGGGGAGGGAGGAGAGGGAGGATAGGAGGGAGGTGGGAGACAACGGAGAGGAAGAAGAGGAAGACGAGACGAGGAGGGAGCGCGAACTGGCGTGGGAAGAATTTTACGGGAATCCTGTCGAGAAACGAACTTACGTGATGTGGAAAGATACAGTTTCTACACTACCGGACTGGACGCATCTGGAGGCAGGCGTTTTGCTTATAAAGGGGGAATTTCAACGGGACATTGCGGTGAATGCACGTGTGCGGATGAGATTGTGGGAGGCGCATAGCGGACGCGATAAGAGGGGGATGTTTGTTGACTGCGTTGTGCTTAGGGAGACCGGCATTCCTTGCGAGTGCTTATGGTAGGTTATTATAGACTGCTATGAAGCTTAGAAACATAATCCACAAGATTAAGCGTTTTACAATGTATACATGTTACCTCTTAGTACAGACTGTATTCACTCTATTGGACCAGAACAGTACACATATACCCTGCATCGGTTGCCATTCATGAGGGTAGTTGCTCCTCAGTAGCCTCGAATGAGGAAGTAATTGCTCCTCTGTACCCCTGCACTCCTCCCTCCTCCCTCCCTCTCATCCTCCCTCTCTTCATTCCCTTGTGTCGTCCCTTGTGTTTCACTTGGCGTTGCACCTTGAGTTACATCTTGAGTTGCGTCTTGCGTGGTATCTTCCATCTTATCTTGCGTTGTCGTGTCAACTTCTCCCCCAATCTCCTCCCCCTCTACTTCACCATCCCCCGCCTCCCCTACCCTTCTTCCATCTCCTGCAAGATCAGCTCCTTCCTCAAACCCCTCTCCACCCCTCTCTTCTCTCCTCTTCATTCTCCTCTCCTCCTCCCTCCCTTCCACCACCGCCCCTCTCCTCTTCTTCCTCACATACTGTCTCTCGCCTCCCATTGGCTCAGCAATTGACACGCCGCCTCCCATTGGCCGACTCAAACCTGGCTCCGTAACTCCCTCTCGCTCCTCCTCCCCTTTCCCCTGCTTCTCCCCAACCTCTCCTTCCTCCCCTCCTCCCTCCTCTCCATCGCCCCTCCTCTCCTCCCCATTCCTCTCCTTCACCTTCCTCCCTAACACCTGAGTCCAGCCGCCCAGCACTTCCCTCCTGCTCCTCCTCTTCGAATCCACCAGCACGAGCAGCAGCAGACCCATCAGCAGCAGCAGCAGCAGCAGCAGCAGCAGCAGCAGACCCATCGGCAGCAGCAGCAGCATCAGCGGAAGAGAAGGAGAGCTTCTTTCGCTTGACTGCCGACTCGCTCTCATCCACACCACCACGGTGTACCCGCCTCCCGCCCTCTCCACCTTCGTCTGCAACCCCCTTTCCAGCTCCACCTCCCTCCCTTCCACCTTCGTCTGCAACCCTTTCTGCTCCTGCCTCACCTGCTGCCTCATCTGACACAGCACCTGAAGGACCACCTGCCGCCCTGCCCGCTGCTGGCCCATCTGCCACCCTTTCCTTGGCTGCTGCTGGTGCTGACGCTGCTTCTCTCTGCGATGGCAGATGTGAAGCCCATCAAGGGCTCAGAGGATGCCATGTCATCAGCCACATCATCATCCACTTCTGATACTCTCTCCTCAAGTGTGTTAAGACTGTTGGGAAGAGATAAGACAAACATTAAGACAGGAGAAGAGTTTAACAGATGTGGGGAAGGAGACAGGGGGAGGGGTTGGGGGGGAAGGGGAAGGGCAGGTTAGGAGGGTGAGTGGTCGAGACAAGTCGGTCAATCAGTGAATCAAGAGGGGTTTGATGAGCCGGGGAGAGTGGGGGAGTAAAGCCCAAGATCAAGATCGTTTTTGAGGCGCCTCAAAATAGACTCCTCACGGTTTGATGAGCCAGGGAGAGTGGGGGAGTAAAGCCCAAGATAAAGGTCTCCGACACAGAGACAGCGCATTTGGAGAGTGAAATAGCCAGCACATGTGTACCAGCCTCTAGGAGCCAAGACTCACATGCTCTTAGCGTCCGCTCCAGTGAGCTTTGAAGCAAACCGGAGAAAAGATGACTGTCGATTCGACTCATAAGTCACCGCCCCAAACACGTGCCCACCCCTAGGAGCCAAGACTCACATGCTCTTAGCATCAGCTCCAGTGAGCTTTGAAGCAAACGGGAGAAAGATGACTGTCGATTCGACTCATAAGTCACCGCCCCAAACGCGTGCCCACCCCTAGGAGCCAAGACTCACATGCTCTTAGCATCAGCTCCAGTGAGCTTTGAAGCAAACGGGAGAAGCGCACATTCCAGAAACGCCAGCCGGTCGGGCGGCGACTCAAACGCGAATGCCACCCCTTGCTGCACTAGCTGCCGAATTGCCGCCCGCTGCTCCGCCAATCGCTGCGCAGAGAACTGCGGGGCGGCTGCTACAGCAGCCAGGCGGGCTGCCAGGCTGGCACAGCACGCTACAGATGCTGGGCTTGGCGAATGAGACGGTGCCACGTCATCAGCTGTGAGTGGGTGGTCGGCGGTTGGGATGAGTGACAGCGAGGGAATAAAGGCCTGATGACATGGAGGGGATGGGAGAGGTGAGAAGAGCACAAGTGAAGTCATAAGTTGACTGGGGGGACAAGCAAGAATACTGGAATGTCGGATAATTTATGACTTGCCCAAAAAGGCTTTACTGATGATGATGAAGCAAGCAGTATAGGTGATCCCACAAGAAGATACATCTCTTATGAGGAAGGAACTCAGCAACACTTTCCAGGAAAGGACCCTGACCTGATCTTACACATATTAACGGACGCAATTGGTGATGCGGGTGACAGTGATGCGTGAGATGATTCATAAAAAGAACCCTGAACAGAAAGGACCCTGACCCCAGCAGCGTTCACATCTCTAGCCACTCACCATCTTGAGCGCCTGCAGGAAAATGGGCCACAACTCAAACTTCCCTCCCCCACTCGCCGCCCGCTTCTTCCTCTGCTGCAGATGAGACAAGAACAGCCGTACCACCCCATCCTCTCTCTCCTCTTTACCTTCATCCTCCTCTTGACCCCGTCACCATCACCACCACTACCCTCCCTCCTCGTTCCCCTCCCCAGCAACACGAGCCGCGAGAGCACAGCAGGCGCCAGCAGCTCTGGGCTCACAGCATCACAGACCACCAGCTTAGCCGCTGCTGTCAGAATCCTCTCCTGCTGCCTGTGAGGCGTCTCAAGAAGCACCCTCTCCTGCTTCCTCACACCGCTGCCACTGCCAAACACCCCTCCCACGCCATCCTCTTCCCCACCCCCATCCCCACCCTTCTCCCCATCCGCATGGGCTTTTCCCCGTCCCCCACTCTCACGGTTCCTGCCCCACCTTCCCTCTCCTTCACATGCTGGGAGGAGACTCGTGCAGGCGGCCCAGTAGGCGTTGACGCTGGTTGGTGTGGCGGTGAGGGATAGCGGCTGCACAAGGGTGTGGGCGAGCTTGTGAGGGCGAAGAGCACCCAGAGGTCGGATATGTGCTCTAGAACCTCTGCTGCTAACCGCTGCTTCTGCTGCTGTTGCTGCTGCTGCTGCTGCTGCTGCTGCTGCTGCTGCTGCTGCTGCTGCTGCTGGTGCTCCCCCCCACCTTCTCGCTCCTCTGCAGTCCGCTCCTCCTCCTCTTGCTCCTCTCCCTGTCTCCCTGCAGTGTTCCCATCCGTCCCTCCCTCCATCAGCCGCAGCAGCAGCGCCATCAGCTGCTCCTGCCTCTCCTTCACCCCGCCCTCCCGCTCCCTAAACTCACCCCCCTCATCACTCCCAACGCCATCATCCAACTCCCCATCACCCTCACTTCCCTCCCCTGGCCCTCCTCTCCCTGCGTCTGCCCCCTTCCCGCCCCTTCTCTCGCTGCTGTGTGCTGAGACAAGGCTCTTGAAATCCCACACCAGCAGGAGGACCAGCGAGCGGAGGATAGGCGAGGCCAGCTGACCAAGGGAAGGGAGGGAGGCGCAGTGGTACACATAGGTACACATAGGTACACATAGGTACACATAGGTACACATAGGTACACATAGGCAGTGAAAACATGAATGTCAGCAGCAGCGAGTGAGAAACGAGGGGGTAGTCTGCTAGAGAGTGAGGAGGACCCTTGAAATCCCACACCAGCAGGAGGACCAGCGAGCGGAGGATAGGCGAGGCCAGCTGACCAAGGGAAGGGTTGCTATCAACAAGCAAGGAGAGAGGCATTGTTGTGCAGGGTGTTTTTGTTCTCAAGAAGAACACCCTTCACAGGCGAGGCCAGCTGAACAAGGCGAGGGTTGCAATCATCAAGCAAAGAGAGAGGCGTTGGCATGAGAGAGTGGAGGAAGGGGAGCTGGCAAACGGGGTTGGAGGGAGAGGATGTGGAGAAACGGGGGATAATGGGACAGGAAACGGCAGCTGAAGTAGTTTAGTTTTGAGACGTCTCAAACTACTTAACCACGCTAGCTGAATTAGGGAGGCAGAAGCGGTTGTAGGCGGGTTAGAAACGGTTGTAGATGGGGTAGAAGCGGTTGGAGATGGGTTAGAAGCGCTTGCTAACCTCAGTGTGCTTGTAGGGAGGAAAGCGCTTGCAGACCTGAGTGTGCTTGTAGGGAGGAAAGCGCTTGCTAACCTGAGTGTGCTTGTAGGGAGGAAAGCGCTTGCTAACCTGAGTGTGCTTGTAGGGAGGGAACCGGTCCAGCAGCTGCAGAAGCAGAGAAAACAAACCCGCCGGCCCCATTTCCTCCGCATCAGCCGCCCTCCCAGCAGCAGCAGCAGCCCCAGCAGCAGTGGCTTCAGCACCAGCAGCTGTGACACGCAGGAAGGGGCTGATGTCTGCTTGCAGGAGGAAGACAGCGAGCCGAGTGGCAGCCACTGAGAGGGAAAAGGTGTCCACGTCAGCTGCTGACGTGGCTTGAGAAGAAGCTGCGTCCAACACAGCACGTGCCTCCTCTCTCACTCTCCCCACCACCACACTTCTCACTGCCCCTCTCACTGCCTCCTCTGCCTGCTCCCGCATCTCCCCATGGGCCTGCTGCATGCACCGCAGCAGCACTCTCGTCGCTGACGCCATCACTGCTGTGCTGACGTGGCGCGCCAGGCTGTCGCGTGCTGCTGAGAGGATCGCGAGGAGCGGCTGACGGTTGGGAGAGAGGAGAGATGGGGAGATATTTAGGATTGTTTTTAAGGGGCCTCAAAGATGGATGGATGGGAGAGACAGGGAGACGGGGAGATATTTAGGATGGAATCGTTAAGTACGTTCAAGAATGGGAGGAAGGGAGTGGGAGGAAGGGGAATGGGCGGAAGGGGATGGGAGGAAGGGGATGGGCGGAAGGGAATGGGAGGAAGGGGATGGGCGGAAGGGGATGGGCGGAAGGGGATGGGCGGAAGGGGATGTTCAAGAGAAAGAGAGGAGCTTGCATGTGAAATGGGTGACACTTATGTGCGTGTTCGTGTCCGACAACACCATCCACTGCTTCCATCCCCCGTTCAGACTTCAGACCCCAGACTTCAGACCCCAGACTTCAGACCCCAGACTTCAGACCCCAGACTTCAGACCCCAGACTTCAGACCCCAGACTTCAGACCCCAGACCTCATCTCGTGCTGCTGTCGATCCGCCGGAGCCCCCACATCCAAGCACTCTGCTGCTTCCAACAGCCGAACTCTAAACCCAACCCCAGACTGCAAACTCCTCACCTTAAACCCTGTCAACCCAGTCCCTGATGCCGCTTTCCTCTCTCATCTCCTGCTGCTGTCGATCCGCCAGGGCCCTCACACCAGGCACTCCGCTGCTTGCATTCCAAGTAGGGGAATGATTTACATTTCTAAGGAAAAAAAGACTCTGTTTCTATCTCACCTCCTGCTGCTGCCTGTCCGCCAGTGCTCCCACGTCCAAGCACTCTGCTGCCTCCAACAGCCGCAGCAGCACCCGCTCATCCGCCACGTGGCGCCGCATCATTGGCGGAAGCACCTTCACCAGCGCTGCTGTCATCCCTGCCACTGCTGCTGCCTGCCGCTCCTGCTGGTTCGGAAGGGGGAATGTGAAAAAGAGCGCGTGAGAGCTCACGTTCCATGCCTTGGACAGTGAAACGGCCTTCCTCTTCGTTCTGCCGCACCCTTTGGCACAATGGGCAGCCCCACCGTCTTACGCACAGTTAGGGAGAGAAGGAGAGCAATGGTGGATGTGTCGGAGTGAGAAGGAGGGGAGGTAAAAGAACTCACCCTCTTTGCCTTGGACACTGCTGCTGCTGTCTTCTTCTTGATGTCCCCTCCGCTCTTTGGCACGATAGGCAGCCCCACAGTCTTACGAGCGGCTAGTGAGAGAAGGAGAGCTAGTGTGGGGGTGTCGGAGTCGGGAGGAGGGGAGGAGGAAGGGAAGGAGGGGTGGAGGAGGAGGGAGGAGTGGGGAGAGAGGCTGGGAGGAGGGCGAGAGGGGCGTGGCTTGGCTGTCTGATTGCAGAAGCAGCTGACCCAGGGTCTTGAAATCCTGGGGGCAAGGAAAAGGGGGAAGGAGTGAAACCCAGAAAGGGGAAGGAGTGAAACCAGAAAGGGGAAGGAGTGAAACCCAGAAAGGGGGAAGGAGTGAAACCCAGAAAGGGGAAGGAGTGAAACCCAGAAAGGGGAAGGAGTGAAACCTAGAAAGGGGAAGGAGTGAAACCCAGAAAGGGGGAAGGAGTGAAACCAGAAAGGGGGAAGGAGTGAAACCAGAAAGGGGGAAGGAGTGAAACCCAGAAAGGGGGAAGGAGTGAAACCCAGAAAGGGGAAGGAGTGAAACCCAGAAAGGGGGAAGGAGTGAAACCCAGAAAGGGGGAAGGAGTGAAACCAGAAAGGGAAGGAGTGAAAAAAAAAAACCAGAAAGGGGGAAGGAGTGAAACCCAGAAAGGGGGAAGGAGTGAAACCCAGAAAGGGGGAAGGAGTGAAACCAGAAAGGGGAAGGAGTGAAACCCAGAAAGGGAGGAAAAAAAAAGGAGTGAAACCCAGAAAGGGGGAAGGAGTGAAACCCAGAAAGGGGGAAGGAGTGAAACCCAGAAAGGGGGAAGGAGTGAAACCCAGAAAGGGGAAGGAGTGAAACCCAGAAAGGGGGAAGGAGTGAAACCCAGAAAGGGGGAAGGAGTGAAACCCAGAAAGGGGGAAGGAGTGAAACCAGAAAGGGGGAAGGAGTGAAACCCAGAAAGGGGGAAGGAGTGAAACCCAGAAAGGGGGAAGGAGTGAAACCCAGAAAGGGGGAAGGAGTGAAACCCAGAAAGGGGGAAGGAGTGAAACCCAGAAAGGGGGAAGGAGTGAAACCCAGAAAGGGGGAAGGAGTGAAACCCAGAAAGGGGGAAGGAGTGAAACCCAGAAAGGGGGAAGGAGTGAAACCCAGAAAGGGGGAAGGAGTGAAACCCAGAAAGGGGGAAGGAGTGAAACCCAGAAAGGGGAAGGAGTGAAACCCAGAAAGGGGGAAGGAGTGAAACCCAGAAAGGGGGAAGGAGTGAAACCCAGAAAGGGGGAAGGAGTGAAACCCAGAAAGGGGGAAGGAGTGAAACCAGAAAGGGGAAGGAGTGAAACCCAGAAAGGGGGAAGGAGTGAAACCCAGAAAGGGGGAAGGAGTGAAACCCAGAAAGGGGGAAGGAGTGAAACCCAGAAAGGGGGAAGGAGTGAAACCAGAAAGGGGAAGGAGTGAAACCCAGAAAGGGGGAAGGAGTGAAACCCAGAAAGGGGGAAGGAGTGAAACCCAGAAAGGGGGAAGGAGTGAAACCCAGAAAGGGGAAGGAGTGAAACCCAGAAAGGGGGAAGGAGTGAAACCCAGAAAGGGGGAAGGAGTGAAACCCAGAAAGGGGGAAGGAGTGAAACCCAGAAAGGGGAAGGAGTGAAACCCAGAAAGGGGGAAGGAGTGAAACCCAGAAAGGGGGAAGGAGTGAAACCCAGAAAGGGGAAGGAGTGAAACCCAGAAGGGGAAGATGAAACCAGAAAGGGGGAAGGAGTGAAACCCAGAAAGGGGGAAGGAGTGAAACCCAGAAAGGGGGAAGGAGTGAAACCAGAAAGGGGAAGGAGTGAAACCCAGAAAAGGGGGAAGGAGTGAAACCCAGAAAGGGGGAAGGAGTGAAACCCAGAAAGGGGAAGGAGTGAAACCCAGAAAGGGGGAAGGAGTGAAACCCAGAAAGGGGAAGGAGTGAAACCCAGAAAGGGGGAAGGAGTGAAACCCAGAAAGGGGGAAGGAGTGAAACCCAGAAAGGGGGAAGGAGTGAAACCCAGAAAGGGGGAAGGAGTGAAACCCAGAAAGGGGGAAGGAGTGAAACCCAGAAAGGGGGAAGGAGTGAAACCCAGAAAGGGGGAAGGAGTGAAACCCAGAAAGGGGGAAGGAGTGAAAACCCAGAAAGGGGAAGGAGTGAAACCCAGAAAGGGGGAAGGAGTGAAACCCAGAAAGGGGGAAGGAGTGAAACCCAGAAAGGGGAAGGAGTGAAACCCAGAAAGGGGGAAGGAGTGAAACCCAGAAAGGGGGAAGGAGTGAAACCCAGAAAAGGGGGAAGGAGTGAAACCCAGAAAGGGGGAAGGAGTGAAACCCAGAAAGGGGAAGGAGTGAAAACCCAGAAAGGGGGAAGGAGTGAAACCCAGAAAGGGGAAGGAGTGAAACCCAGAAAGGGGGAAGGAGTGAAACCCAGAAAGGGGGAAGGAGTGAAACCCAGAAAGGGGGAAGAGGAAACCCAGAAAGGAAGAGTGAAAACCCAGAAAGGGGAAGGAGTAAACCCAGAAAGGGGAAGGAGTGAAACCAGAAAGGGAAGGAGTGAAACCCAGAAAGGGGAAGGAGTGAAACCCAGAAAGGGGGAAGGAGTGAAACCCAGAAAGGGGGAAGGAGTGAAACCAGAAAGGGGAAGGAGTGAAACCCAGAAAGGGGGAAGGAGTGAAACCCAGAAAGGGGGAAGGAGTGAAACCCAGAAAGGGAAGGAGTGAAACCAGAAAGGGGAAGGAGTGAAACCCAGAAAGGGGGAAGGAGTGAAACCCAGAAAGGGGGAAGGAGTGAAACCCAGAAAGGGGGAAGGAGTGAAACCAGAAAGGGGGAAGGAGTGAAACCCAGAAAGGGGGAAGGAGTGAAACCCAGAAAGGGGGAAGGAGTGAAACCCAGAAAGGGGGAAGGAGTGAAACCCAGAAAGGGGGAAGGAGTGAAACCCAGAAAGGGGGAAGGAGTGAAACCCAGAAAGGGGAAGAGTGAAACCAGAAGGGGGAAGGAGTGAAACCCAGAAAGGGGGAAGGAGTGAAACCCAGAAAGGGGGAAGGAGTGAAACCCAGAAAGGGGGAAGGAGTGAAACCCAGAAAGGGGGAAGGAGTGAAACCCAGAAAGGGGGAAGGAGTGAAACCCAGAAAGGGGGAAGGAGTGAAACCCAGAAAGGGGGAAGGAGTGAAACCCAGAAAGGGGGAAGGAGTGAAACCCAGAAAGGGGGAAGGAGTGAAACCCAGAAAGGGGAAGGAGTGAAACCCAGAAAGGGGGAAGGAGTGAAACCCAGAAAGGGGGAAGGAGTGAAACCCAGAAAGGGGGAAGGAGTGAAACCCAGAAAGGGGGAAGGAAGTGAAACCAGAAAGGGGGAAGGAGTGAAACCCAGAAAGGGGGAAGGAGTGAAACCCAGAAAGGGGGAAGGAGTGAAACCCAGAAAGGGGGAAGGAGTGAAACCCAGAAAGGGGGAAGGAGTGAAACCCAGAAAGGGGGAAGGAGTGAAACCCAGAAAGGGGGGAAGGAGTGAAACCCAGAAAGGGGGAAGGAGTGAAACCCAGAAAGGGGGAAGGAGTGAAACCCAGAAAGGGGGAAGGAGTGAAACCCAGAAAGGGGGAAGGAGTGAAACCCAGAAAGGGGGAAGGAGTGAAACCCAGAAAGGGGGAAGGAGTGAAACCCAGAAAGGGGGAAGGAGTGAAACCCAGAAAGGGGGAAGGAGTGAAACCCAGAAAGGGGAAGGAGGTGAAACCCAGAAAGGGGGAAGGAGTGAAACCCAGAAAGGGGGGAAGGAGTGAAACCCAGAAAGGGGAAGAGGAAACCAGAAAGGGGGAAGGAGTGAAACCCAGAAAGGGGAAGATGAAACCCAGAAAGGGGGAAGGAGTGAAACCCAGAAAGGGGAAGGAGTGAAACAGAAGGGGAAGGAGTGAAACCCAGAAAGGGGGGAAGGAGTGAAACCCAGAAAGGGGGGAAGGAGTGAAACCCAGAAAGGGGAGTGAAACCCAGAAAGGAGGAAGAAAACCCAGAAAGGGGAATGAGTCACAGCGGGGGGCAACGCGAGTGCACTCTACCCTTCAGTGCCCACGTCGCTTCAAACCACTTCGCTTAGAGGGATAAGAGTCAGTGCCAACTCACAACTCACCATCAAGACGGGCACTCTATCCCACAAGGCTTCCACCACGTATCCAGCCTGCACTGCATCCCCACACGGCTGCACCATGCGCACCACCACCAGCACCTGCTGCACAGCTGCCGTCTCCCCTCCCCGCCCCTCCCTCCCTTCCCTCCCCTTTCATCCGACCTCTTGCCTCCCCCGCTGTCTTTCCCTGCGCCTGCCTCGGCTGCAGCAGCAGCATCACCAGCAGCAGGAGTGGTGGGGTGTGGGGAGGAGGAGAGTAGGAGGTGGAAGAGGGCGTGGCAGGAGGCGAGTCTCAGGGGCGGGCAGTCGTCTGTGAGGAGGTCAGCGAGGAGGGAGATCGCCTCGTGCTGTGGGAGGGTGTCGTTGCTGTTGGCAATTGGGGGGGGGGGGGGGGGTGTTACAGAGGGGCAGAGGGGAAGAGAGGGGAAGGGGAGTTGAGTTGATGGCAGGAGGCGAGTCTCAAGGATGGGCAGTTGTCCGTGAGGAGGTCGGAGAGGAGGGTGATTGCCTGGTCGTGTGGGAGGGTCTCGTTGCTGAGAAGGGCAGGGACACATGGGAAAGGAGGGGGAAGAGGGGAAGAGGGGAAGGAGGGGGAAGAGGGGAAGAGGGGAAGAGGGGAAGAGGGGAAGAGGGGAAGAGGGGAAGAGGGGAAGAGGGGAAGAGGGGAAGAGGGAAAGAGGGGAAGAGGGAAAAGAGGGGAAGAGGGAAAGAGGGGAAGAGGGAAGAGGGGAAGAGGGAAAGAGGGGGGGAAGAGGGAAAGAGGGGAAGAGGGGAAAGGAGGGGAAGAGGGAAGAGGGGAAGAGGAGAAGAGGGAAGAGGGGAAAGAGGGAAGAGGGGAAGAGGGAAAGAGGGGAAGAAAAGAGGGAGGGGAAGAGGGAAGAGGGGAAGAGGGAAAGAGGGGAAGAGGGAAAGAGGGAAGAGGGAAGAGGGAAAGGGAAGAGGGAAAGAGGGGAAGAGGGAAAGAGGGGAAGAGGGGAAGAGGGGAAGAGGGAAAGAGGGGAAGAGGGAAAGAGGGGAAAGAGGGGAAGAGGAAGAGGGGAAGAGGGAAGAGGGAAAGAGGGGAAGAGGGGAAAAGAGGGGAAGGGAAGAGGGGAAGAGGGAAAGAGGGGAAGAGGGAAAGAAAGAGGGAAAGAGGGGAGATGGGTTGATGGCGGGAGACGAATCTGAGGGGCGGACAGTTGTCCGTGAGGAGGTTGGAGAGGGGAGAGATTGCCTGGTGCTGTGGTAAGGTGTCGTCGCTGGGAGACAAACACGGAGAAAGGTGGAAAAGGGTGGAAAAAGGTGGAAAAGGTGGAAAAAGGTGGAAAAAGGTGGAAAAAGGTGGAAAAAGGTGGGGAAAAGGTGGAAAAAGGTGGAAAAAGATGGAAAGAGGTGGAAAAAGGTGAAAAAAGGTGGAAAGAGGAGGAAAAAAACGGAGATGGGGTTGTCTGAATTGAGTATGAGTCTGAAGGTGGAGATCGCTCACCACCTCACCATCCATTCTAAGTCCCATCTGAGGAGTGGGTTGCTAAGAGCCCAGAGAAAGTAAGATATCTCTGCATTGCTTTCGAGTCGGCTCGAAAGAAAAATGTCACGTCAGCTGCATGCATTGCTCACCTGGCGAGCAGCTGGACCAATGAGATGGCAGCCACCGCCACATCAGCATCCACGTCATCCACCATCTGCTGCATACGTGGCAAGAAACGCTCAGAAAAGACGCCGAGTGCCGGGAGATTGTCCTCGCTGGCGTACAGCGATTGGAGCGCTGACAGGGCTGTGAGCCGGACGGATGCCACCTGGCAGAGGGATATTGGAGCAGAGATCACACATTTAACTCTAACAGGAAATCTCTGACAAACGGAGCGCTTGGAAGAGAAAAATCACGTTAGCTGGAGGCTTTTGAGGGAGAAACAATGGGCAATGAAGTCTAGAGATTAACACAGAACAATAAATTGCACTTTATCTCTCAATTCGATCCGCTTACCTTGTCATTGAGCGAGAATCCGAGGTACTTGAGGTAGACGTCGTCCAGGAAGAGTGATGGGTAGCGCACCACCCACTGCCCCAGCGCCGCCACGCATGCTGCTCTGATGGCGGGGTCTATGTCCCTGTGGCGATGAGTGAGGATGCTGGGAGGGGAGGAGGGAGAAGAGGGGGGTTGTGTATAGGTGTAAGCAGGAGGGGGGAAGTGTATGGGGAATCGCACCTGAGCACTGCCACACACGCTGCTCTGATGGCGGGGTCTACGTCCCTGTGGCGATGAGTGAGGATGCTGGGAGGGGAGGAGGGAGAAGAGGGGGGTTGTGTATAGGTGTAAGCAGGAGGGGGGAAGTGTATGGGGAATCGCACCTGAGCACTGCCACACACGCTGCTCTGATGGCGGGGTCTACGTCCCTGTGGCGATGAGTGAGGATGCTGGGAGGGGAGGAGGGAGAAGAGGGGGGTTGTGTATAGGTGTAAGCAGGAGGGGGGAAGTGTATGGGGAATCGCACCTGAGCACTGCCACACACGCTGCTCTGATGGCGGGGTCTACGTCCCTGTGGCGATGAGTGAGGATGCTGGGAGGGGAGGAGGGAGAAGAGGGGGGTTGTGTATAGGTGTAAGCAGGAGGGGGGAAGTGTATGGGGAATCGCACCCGAGCACTGCCACACACGCTGCTCTGATGGCGGGGTCTACGTCCCTGTGGCGATGAGTGAGGATGCTGGCAGGAGGAAAAGGGGAGGGGGAGTTGTGAAGAATGAAGAGGGGGGAGGAGGGTTTTGATTAAGCAAAGGAGGAGGGGTGTGAGCAGCAAGAGGCAACGCACCAACCACTGCCCCCCAGTGCCGCCACACACGCTGCTGCTCTGATGGTGGCATTCACATCTCGATGGCGACGAGTGAGAATTCTGCACATATGAGGTTTAGAGAGGGCGGGTGTGAGCAGACGAAGGGATGTAAGGATGTGAGCAGAGGGAGGGCTGTAAGGATGTGAGCAGAGGGAGGGCTGTAAGGATGTGAGCAGAGGGAGGGCTGTAAGGATGTGAGCAGAGGGAGGGCTGTAAGGATGTGAGCAGAGGGAGGGCTGTAAGGATGTGAGCAGAGGGCGGGCGTGGGCAGAAGAAGGGTGGGAGAACTAAGAGCAGGGAGTGTCCGGGGGACCCATGAACAAATCTTTTGGTCCTACATCACTCACCAAGTGAATTTTCAAGTGTCTCAAGACTCTTTTGAGGCGTCTCAAGACTCTTTTGAGGCGTCTCAAGACTCTTTCGAGTCGTCTCAAGACTCTTTTGAGGCGTCTCAAGACTCTTCTGAGGCGTCTCAAGACTCTTTTGAGGCGTCTCAAGACTCTTCTGAGTCGTCTCAAGACTCTTTTGAGGCGTCTCAAGACTCTTCGGAGTCGTCTCAAGACCCTGCAAGCCCTGCACCACTCACCCGGTGAACCCGCTTCGCATGAACCCCTCTAGCTCTGCCATCTTCCCATGCATCTCATCCACCTTCGCTTGCAGCTCCACCACCACTCGACTGCTCGCCCCTACCCCTCCAACTCCCCTTCCGCCTCTCCCACCTGCCCCATCCCCCACCCCTTCTTCCCCCTCCGCCTCCCCCCTCCCCTTCCCACGACCTCCCCCGGTTGACCCCCTTCTAGTGCTCCTCCTAGCTCCTTCTCTGCCTTCCCCTTCTCGCTGCTCCTCCTGCTCTTCGGACCGTCGGATCGTGGCCTGCAGCTGCCTCTGAGCTGTCGATTGCGCGTCAGAGAGCACGGAAGCAACGGTGATGATGGAGGAGATGATCTGCAGACCCACTAGCGTTGCCACGTGGCGGAATATGCGGGGGGAGGACCTGGGGGGGGAAGGGGGGAGGAGAGGGGTGTGTGGGGGGTTTGAGAGGTGGGGAAAGGGAAAGGGAGGTGGGCGGCACAATATGCACGAAGGGGAATCAGCAGAAGAGGGGGGCATATGGAGAAGGGCAGAGGTGGAGGTGCGAGAGAGAAACAAGGTAGTTGAGGAGGTTTTTCTTGAGGCGCCTCAAATATAGACTCCTCACGTGTGAGGAGAGAGTAACAAGGTAGCTGAGGAGGGCAGGCAGCAGCTGATTGTCAAAGACAGCACCCTCCCCGCCGCCCGCCAGCACGAGGGCATCCCAAAAGTGCAGCAGGGAGGCATGGATAGAGGGGAAGGACGAAGGGAACATACGAGGAGAGGGCGACGAGGTAATCCAGGAGGGCGGGCAGCAGGCGGTTGTCAAACAGCGCGCCCTCCCTGCCGCCCGCCACTATGAGCGCGTCCCAGAACAGCAGCAGGGAGGCGCGGAACGACGCCCCGTCAGCAGCCTTGGCGCGGACAGACGAGCCTGTGCCATTGCCATCCCTGGCGTCCTTGGCAGTGAGGTGGTGATGGTGGTGGTGGTCAGATTGAGTGGCTTGCAGGTGATCGAGCAGTGTGGTCTGGTGTGCCGTGTCCACCAGGGTTTGAACAACATCGTCCACTGCTACGCCCTCTGAGATGATTGCATCATCACCCATCACCACCTCAACTCCACACGCCTGTAAGAAAAGGGAGCACATGGCAGACACACCAGATGGCGCATTGCGATATAAAATCAGAGCCATGTGCGTGCATTGCAGCGCGTGCCCTCACCTGGAACAGCAGCTTGAGGCGCATGCCCTCACCTGGAACAGCAGCTTGAGGCGCATGCCCTCACCTGGAACAGCAGCTTGAGGCGCATGCCCTCACCTGGAACAGCAGCTTGAGGCGCACGCCCTCACCTGGAACAGCAGCTTGAGGCGCATGCCCTCACCTGGAACAGCAGCTTGAGGCGCATGCCCTCACCTGGAACAGCAGCTTGAGGCGCATGCCCTCACCTGGAACAGCAGCTTGAGGCGCATGCCCTCACCTGGAACAGCAGCTTGAGGCGCATGCCCTCACCTGGAACAGCAGCCTCACCTGGAACAGCAGCTTGAGGCGCATGCCCTCACCTGGAACAGCAGCCTCACCTGGAACAGCAGCTTGAGGCGCATGCCCTCACCTGGAACAGCAGCTTGAGGCGCATGCCCTCACCTGGAACAGCAGCTTGAGGCGCATGCCCTCACCTGGAACAGCAGCTTGAGGCGCATGCCCTCACCTGGAACAGCAGCTTGAGGCGCATGCCCTCACCTGGAACAGCAGCTTGAGGCGCATGCCCTCACCTGGAACAGCAGCTTGAGGCGCATGCCCTCACCTGGAACAGCAGCCTCACCTGGAACAGCAGCTTGAGGCGCATGCCCTCACCTGGAACAGCAGCTTGAGGCGCATGCCCTCACCTGGAACAGCAGCTTGAGGCGCATGCCCTCACCTGGAACAGCAGCTTGAGGCGCATGCCCTCACCTGGAACAGCAGCTTGAGGCGCATGCCCTCACCTGGAACAGCAGCTTGAGGCGCATGCCCTCACCTGGAACAGCAGCTTGAGGCGCACGCCCTCACCTGGAACAGCAGCTTGAGGCGCATGCCCTCACCTGGAACAGCAGCTTGAGGCGCATGCCCTCACCTGGAACAGCAGCTTGAGGCGCATGCCCTCACCTGGAACAGCAGCTTGAGGCGCATGCCCTCACCTGGAACAGCAGCTTGAGGCGCATGCCCTCACCTGGAACAGCAGCTTGAGGCGCACGCCCTCACCTGGAACAGCAGCTTGAGGCGCATGCCCTCACCTGGAACAGCAGCTTGAGGCGCATGCCCTCACCTGGAACAGCAGCTTGAGGCGCATGCCCTCACCTGGAACAGCAGCTTGAGGCGCATGCCCTCACCTGGAACAGCAGCTTGAGGCGCATGCCCTCACCTGGAACAGCAGCTTGAGGCGCATGCCCTCACCTGGAACAGCAGCTTGAGGCGCATGCCCTCACCTGGAACAGCAGCTTGAGGCGCATGCCCTCACCTGGAACAGCAGCTTGAGGCGCATGCCCTCACCTGGAACAGCAGCCTCACCTGGAACAGCAGCTTGAGGCGCATGCCCTCACCTGGAACAGCAGCTTGAGGCGCATGCCCTCACCTGGAACAGCAGCTTGAGGCGCATGCCCTCACCTGGAACAGCAGCTTGAGGCGCATGCCCTCACCTGGAAGACTCCGCAGTCAAAGCCATGTGCGTGCACTGCGGCGTGTGCTCTCACCTGGAACAGCAGCTTGAGCAGCTGAGCAGTGGCGTGCGTGCGGTTGAAATCGTAGCCCTCCATCCATCTGTACGCTGCCTCCTCCACGTCGGATGCAGTTCCAGCCATGACGATGTCTGTGGGTGGTTTGGGGGGGAGGGGGGAAGGCGAGGGGAAGGCGGGGGAAAGGGGGGGGGGGAAAGGAACAAAGAGCTTGTGGGGAAACAGTAGACAGTGCATGTGGTTGAAATCGCATCACTTCCTCTCCCCCACACAGTCCAGTGCAAGTGCGTCCCTGTTCAACCCACCAAATAGGCTTCGCTTGACAGCAGCGAGCCCACCATCAGCCCCCGCGATCCCTGTCCCTGCCTGCTGCTTCTGCTGCTTCCCTGCTCCCTTCCGCTGCCCCCCCTCCTGCCCTCCCCCCACACCCTCCTCCTCTCCTGCCCCCGCTTGCTGCCCACCTTCCGCCTCGACCTCTCTCTCCTCCACCTCCTTCCCTCTCCTCCTCCTCTTCTCTGCTTTCTTCGGCTTTGCTGCCGCAGCACCAATGGCCCTCCCCTCAACTATGAAAGCACCGGCAGCAGCAGCAGCAGCCGCAGCTGTGGACCGAGCCTGGCGGTGAGGCTTGGCGAGAGCCTTGAGCGCTGCTACCTTGCGAGGCTTGGGAGCAGGTTTGGGGCGAGGCATGGCGACAGCAGTTTGCTTATGGGAAACTCCCCCCTCTGCACGAGGCTTCTTTGCCTTCTGTGACGAAGGGACATATTCCTCCTCCTCTTCCTCCTCGCTCTCCTCCTCCTCACTCTCTTCCTCTGAGTCGTTCTCATTCACACTCTCGTCCTCCTCGTCTTCTCCCTCTTCTCCCTCCCCTTCCTCCACTTCTGCACTTTTCTCCTCCCTTTCCTCCTCTCCCTCCACTTCAGCCTCACCTATTGCCTCCCCTTGCTCCCCCTCCCCTTCTTCCACCTCCATTTCTTCCCCCTCCTCCTCACTATTCCTACTCCCCTCTTCATCTCTCCTCTCCATCTCCTCAACCTCCTCCTCCTCCTGCTCTTCCTCCCTCTCCCTGCCCTTCTTCCCTCCCTTTCCCCTTCCTCTCTTCCCGCCCCCCGTCCCTCTCAACAAACTGGCCCTTTTCCCACTCTCCTTCTTGCCACCCTTCCCCCTCTCCGGTCCTCCTGAACCCTTCTCAACCGTACCAGTCCTCCCAGACCTACCAGCCCTCCCAGCCGTACCAGCTCTGGTGCTCCTCCTCTCAAGAACCACCGCCTTGCCCTTCTTTCGCTTTACGCCCTTCCCTGCTTTCTCCACGACCTCCACTTCAACTTCCTTCTCCTCCTCCCCCTCCTGCGCCTCCTCTTCCTCCGCCTCCCCCTCCTCCTTCTCCTCCTCCTCCGCCTCGCTTGGCTCCTCTGCATGTACTGCCGCTCTCTTACCTGTTGCCTCTTGGTGTGCCCCCCGTCTCCCTCCAACTCTCCCTTCTGCTGCCTTTTCACCCCCTGCTTCAGCCGGCCGCGTCACCTTCCCCTTCCCCTCTTTTTCCACCTTCCCTGCATTTCTCTCCTGGCCCATCTCCCCTTCCTCTCCACCTTTTTCTCCCTCCCTCCCCTCCCCTGCCTTCTCCCCCTTCTCCCGCTCCCCCTTCCCCGCTCTCTTTTTCCCCACAGAAGAAGCAGCCAGGGCAACAGCAGCACGCTGAGCAGCCGCCCGCCTCTCCCTCCCCCCTGCAACTGGGGTTACCACCACATCCTCTCCCGTGCTTGCACTCTTCCTCCCCCTTCCTCTCTTCCTACCAGAAACCGGGGTTCTTTCTGGCTTCGCCGTTTCTCCTGCCACCTCCCCACCAGCACCTGCCTCTGTCTCTCTGTCTCCTCTGCCGTCCCTCTCTGTCCCCAGCGTTCCCTTGGGCCCAAATCCAGCGCTACCATCCTCTCCGCCTCCCCCTTTTTGAGGCGTCTCAAAAACCCTCTCTGTCCCCAACGCTCCCTTGGGCCCAACTCCAGCGCTCCCTTCCTCTGCATCTCCCTCCGCTCGCTCCTCTGCCTCAATATCTCTTCGTTCACTTGCCTCACCCGCTCCTCCCTCCTCCTCTCCTGCTTCTACCTCTGCTCGAGCCCCCACGTGCGTGTTCTCTCCCTCCTCTTCCATCTCCTCTCCCCCCGCCTCCTTCCCATCTGCAGACGGCCCTTCTCCTGTTTCTGCTGCTTCTGCTGCCTCTGCTGCTTCTCCTGCCTCTGCTGCCTCTGCTGCCTCTGCTGCTTCTGCTGCTTCTCCTGCCTCTGCTGCCTCTGCTGCCGCTGCTGCCTCTCCTGCTTCTGCTACCTCCGCTGCAGCATCTGCCATGCCAGCTTCTGCTTCCCTTCTGGAGAGCAAAACGGAGGAAACAACAGACAGGAGAGACAGAAACGTGGCAGGTAGATTCAGTCAAACAGGGGACTGCAAGGCGAGACAAGAAGAAGAACAGGAGAGTGCAAGGCGAGACAAGAAGAAGAACAGGAGAGTGCAAGGCGAGACAAGAAGAAGAACAGGAGAGTGCAAGGCGAGACAAGAAGAAGAACAGGAGAGTGCAAGGCGAGGCAAGAAGAAGAACAGGAGAGTGCAAGGCGAGACAAGAAGAAGAACAGGAGAGTGCAAGGCGAGGCAAGAAGAAGAACAGGAGGTGCAAGGCGAGACAAGAAGAAGAACAGGAGAGTGCAAGGCGAGACAAGAAGAAGAGCAGGAGAGTGCAAGGCGAGGCAAGAAGAAGAACAGGAGAGTGCAAGGCGAGGCAAGAAGAAGAACAGGAGAGTGCAAGGCGAGGCAAGAAGAAGAACAGGAGAGTGCAAGGCGAGACAAGAAGAAGAACAGGAGAGTGCAAGGCGAGGCAAGAAGAAGAACAGGAGAGTGCAAGGCGAGACAAGAAGAAGAACAGGAGAGTGCAAGGCGAGGCAAGAAGAAGAACAGGAGAGTGCAAGGCGAGACAAGAAGAAGAACAGGAGAGTGCAAGGCGAGGCAAGAAGAAGAACAGGAGAGTGCAAGGCGAGGCAAGAAGAAGAACAGGAGAGTGCAAGGCGAGGCAAGAAGAAGAACAGGAGAGTGCAAGGCGAGGCAAGAAGAAGAACAGGAGAGTGCAAGGCGAGGCAAGAAGAAGAACAGGAGAGTGCAAGGCGAGACAAGAAGAAGAACAGGAGAGTGCAAGGCGAGACAAGAAGAAGAACAGGAGAGTGCAAGGCGAGGCAAGAAGAAGAACAGGAGAGTGCAAGGCGAGGCAAGAGGGGAAACAGGAGACTGCAAGCGCAGAAACCATGAGCTCGAACGAAATGCGACTTGCCGAAACCTACCCGGCCGTTCTCCTCTTCTTGCGGCCTCGTCCACTCGTCCCTGCCTCTCTCTCCTTCTTCACCTTCTCCTTCTCCTCCTCCCGTTCCTCCTCCCGTCCCTCCTCCCGACCCCCCTTCCCCGCCTCCTCAGCCTCCTCAGCCTGCTCCTCCTCCTCCACCTCCGTCTCCTCCTCCCTTTCCTTCTTCCGCTTCCCCTGCGCCTTTGCACCCTTCTGCTTCTTCCCTCCCTTCTTCCCTCCCTTCTTCGCTCCCTTCTCCTCCTTCTCCTGTGGCGACTCCCCTTGCAACTCGTCCGCCTCGTCCCTCCTATCTTCGACCTTCTTGCTCCGTCCTTCACTCGCCCTACGAAATTCCTCAATATCCTCCCTCACCCTCTCATCCTCCTCTCGCGTCTCTCCATCTTCTCCCCTCTTCTCTCCACCCCTCCCCTCTTCACCTCTCCCCACTTCCCCGGAGCCCCGCCCCTTCCGTCCTTGCCCCTTCCGCTGGGAACCCTGCTGCAGCTCCTGCTGCTGCTGCTGCGGCGGCGGCGACGGCTGCTGGCGCTCATGCCGCTGCTGCCGCTCTCCCCCCTGGCGCTGCAGCAGCGTCTGCTGCCTGGCTTCCTGCGCCAGGCACGCGTCGAGCGCCGCCTTGTAATCCGGGAGGCACTTGCTGCGCTGGCTGCGCGCGATCGCCTTGACCCTCGCCTCGCCCTCGAACCTGTCCAGCTCGTCTGGCCCGCAGAAGCGGCTGGCACGCGAGGAGGGGGGAAGGAGAGTGGGCAAGCGGGTGTTTCAGATAATTAAATTGATCGCTTTCTCCCTCGCCTCGCCCTTGAACCTGCCCAGCTCCTCTGGCCCACAGAACCGGCTGGCACGCGGGGAAGAGGGGTGCGGAGGGGGGTTTGGGGTGTTTCGTCAGCGGATAACTACGTATTCAGCCAATCGCCTTCTCCCTCGCCTCGCCCTCGAACCTGTCCAGCTCGTTTGGCCCGCAGAACCGACTGGCACGCGGGGAGGAGGGGTGAGTCAAGTCCACACATCCATTCAGCCCTTGATGCGGGGGGATGCAAGCAGCGTTTCACGGAGCGAACTTCGCAAAGAACGCTGCGAGGCTTTGCGGAAGCGGGGCACGTCGTTTGCGAGACTCCTCCGAGGTTGTTGAATTCTGACAGAGTCGCAGGGATCCCTTGACGATTCGCGTCTGTCGCAATCGAAAGGCTCACATCTGTCGCAATCGAACGACTCACATCTGGCGCGGCTGCAGGAAGAGAACGAAGACCTTGCCTTCCTGCGGTTGCTTCTTGAACTTGTGAGGATCCACGACCTGATTCAAAACAAAGGCGGAACCAACAGAAACGAGAGGGGGAAACGAACGGGAAACGCTATGAGTCGATTCAAAAGGAGAACGACGACCTTGTCTTCATGCGCCTCCTCCTTGAAATTGTAAGGATCCCCGACCTGGCTCAAAACCGCGGGGGAACCAACAATATAATAATTGACTACCTGTAATTTCATAGATATATGTCATTTGCGCTTATTTTGAACATAGACTTGCTATTTTCAACGAAAACCAGCGGAAACCAACGCAAAACCAACGGGAAACTTCCGATCGACGGAGGAAAGGCGTTCTACTTCCCAGCGACAGGGGTAGCAGACGAATTTTGAGCGCCTCGAATAGACACAATTAGAAAAGGTAAAAGCGAAACAACGACTTCTGCTGCAAGGATAACGATATAAATCACGAAACATTGTATAAATATCTTCTTAGCCTGCTTGAAGAGAGGAGAGGATCACCTGAGCCGGCCATGGCGGGTATCCCGTGACCTTAGCGAGGACAAGCGAGCCCACCGGCCACGATTCAGTATCCGCAGCCATGGCTAACTCTAATGCTCGGACCTAGCTAGTCTATTACCAGGCTATGACCAGCTGGTATACTAGAAAACCACCTTCAAAGCGGCCAGGCTACGACCAGTTAGAAAATAGCGGCTCGTGACAGGGAAAACAGTTAAGGCACGGGCCGTCGGACCGTGTAGCAGAACGCCAAGACTTCTTGTCATTAGGACGCTTTACAACGAGAGGAACGTCATGGGCTTGAAGGGTATGGCTGAGCTGCCAGGATGCCAGACAAAACAGGTTCAAGGAGGTTTCACCAGAAGTGCTTCGGGAGGGAAGTCTAATCTACTGATGGCGAGGTTGGAACTTGGAAGCAAATTGGGAGAAATGGAGGGAAGGGCGTCGTGCTCCAGAGGTAGACTGCAGCAGCAGAGAAATGTACAAATTTGGCGGGAAGGGAATTTCGAACATAGAAATTGCCGCGTGTTACATACGAATCCTTGGGTGGGTGTACTGATAAACTGCTGTTATGTGAGTAAAGAACAACAGATCAATTTTACTTTCATTCAAAACCGAGGGCAGCTGGTGAAGGGCCAACTGACTGCATTTAACCCCTCATTTTATCACGTGCTGAGCTCTCTTATAAACCAAGCTCAGCGCCTCTATTTTCCCACTAAATAATCTGTTCTAATCCAGGTCGATGCCAGAACCTACGGTCCCCCATCAGTAGCCCTTATCGGTCCACCCCTCCACTTCCACCACCAGTCGACATGGTACCAGCTCCTGAGCCATTCTCAGCAGGCAGGGGAGGGCCCCACTTGCCATCTGAATCTGAGGGCTCTAGCACATGCACCGAACCATCGCTCAGACCCAAGGCGAACTGGTTGGGGTCTTGGGGGTGTGCTGCCACCACCATAGGCACCACGAGACCCGGCCTGAGGAAGACAACAGAGGATCAATACCGGTATGAGCATGCATGGAGCATAAGCGCAGGAAGGGAGCAATGGTGGCATGGAGACAAGTGCAAGCCCAGGACGAAGCAAGAAAGCCTGGCAGTGCAGTATCCGAAGACAAAGACACAGCCGTGTTTTTGAGAATTCTCAAAGGTGTTTTTGAGAATTCTTAAAAAAGCCCTACCAAGGGATGCCACTGCCAGAGAAAGGTCTGCGTAATGTGGCGGCGTACCCGACAGAGGGAGCATATGCCGAAGGAGCAACGCGACACCGTGGCCGGAGGCTATCCCCGTCGAACACACACACAGTGGCATCCGCAAAGGCTGCCAGCACCAGCGATGAGTCGCACGAGTATGCCGCAGCCGTGATGGGCGCTGACAGCGGGCCCAGGTCTCTGGGCACCCACTGCCGGAGCCGGTCGAGCTTGCTGGCGTCGTAGATGGCGAGCTGGGACTCGTGCGCCACCAGCAGGCGCTGCTGGTCGTTGTGGAACTGCACCCGCGTGTCTGCTAGAGCTGAGGGGGACGAGCGGGACGGCAGGGCCAGAGGCCGGGATTTCCTCTTCTCCCACCCGTCCGTGCTCCACAGGAAGAGCTGAGAGAGAAAAGGGGGGGGGGGGGGGGGGGATTGGGCAGGGAGAGAGGCAGGGAGGATGAGAAAGGCAGGAAAGTATGTTGGTGTGAACATAGTTAAGACCCACCTGCAAGTCAGCAGCGAACTAGCCAATTACCCTGAGCCCACCTACATATCACCCTGAGCCCACCTGAGAGTCACCCTGAGCCCACTTATGAGTCACCCTGAGCCCACCTGAGAGTCACCCTGAGCCCACTTGCAAGTCACCCTGAGCCCACTTGAGAGTCACCCTGAGCCCACTTGAGAGTCAACCCCTACTCACCTGGCAGTCACCCCTCCCCTACCTGCGAGTCACCCCTCCCCTACCTGCGAGTCAGCCCCGGAGGACACAAGGCTGTTGAGCGCGTTGGAGAAGGCAAGCCCCGTGATGCGCTTGCTATGTCCCTTCAGCTTGCTCTTCACCTGCCAGGGCACGATGGGAAGGGAAGGGGGGTGGAGGGACTTGTAAGCCAGTTCAGAATCCACCTTACTTGCTGCGGCCCTTCAGCTTGCTCTTCACCTGCCAGGGCACGATAGGAAGGGTGGGGGGCGGAGGAACATGTAAGCCAATTCAAAGTCACGATAGGAAGCGTGGGGGGGGGCGTCAGCTTGCTCTTCACCTGTCAGAGATCGGGAGAAAAGGGGAGCGGGGTAGAGAGACTGTGAGATAACTCATATGTCACCTGGCTTGCTGTAGCCTAGCCCTTGACCTGGCTCTTCACCTGTCGATGCTTGATAGGGAAGGGAGGGGAGGCAGGGGAGGAGCTTGAGAATCGAGCAACCGCAGTCTATTTGAAGTGAAGATGACGGACTGAACAGTGTGCGAAGGGGTGTGAGTAGACGCGCGGTGGCGGCCACTGACATGATTGCAGAGAACTCACGATCACACCTCGTGGTCACCACAATGCATAGCCACTATTGTGATTGAAATCACGAGGTGTCATTGCGAGCTCGCTGCAGTCATGTCTGTGGCTGCCACAGTGCGTCTGCTCACACCCTTTCGCACACTGTTTAGTCCGTCGAGATCATTCAATTCAGCTTGAGTCACGTTTTTGCACCCACCTCATGCAGCCGCACTCACCTCAAGTCGCACATTGATCTGCTTGGTGGCGCCATCCATGGAGATGGTAGGAGGAGGTGGATGCTAGGGGGGGGGAGGTACTTTCTTCCCCATGGCCTCTACAACCCAGACACTGACCTCATAGAGCCTACCATTCTAGATCTGAATGGTTGCGTTGTCCATGCCGGTGGCGATGATGCTGTTGTCCTGCAGGTGGAAAGCTGCTGCTGGAAGGAGGCTGCTGAAGAGGAAGTGGCTTTGTTCTGATCCGTCCCTGTAGCATAGTAACTCACCTCATCCAACCGGACGTTGTAGATCTGGATGGTTGCGTCGTCCATGCCAATGGCAATGATGTTGTTGTCCTGCGGGTGGAACGCCAGGAAGGTGGCTGCTGGGGGAGGCGCCATGAACGTCGTCATCACCTGGTCAATGCAGGTCAATGGTGGTTCAAACAGGGGGAGAGAAGAGGGGTGGGGGGGTTGTTGGCATAAAGCTCAAGCTGAGTTCAGTGCGTCCGAACGTGAAAGGAAACACGCACCACACACACACACGCACGCACGCACGCACACCCCTACTCCCACGCGCACCTTGAAAGTGAGCATGTTGAAGAGCGACACCTTGCCCCCCGAGGCCGACATGACGTAGGAGTCGTTCTTGGAGAGCGCAATGCATGCTATGGGGTGCGCGCCGTCCCGGTCGTCCGAGCTCGCATCGCCCGTGTCGTTGGTCATCATGATGCCGCTGGCCGGCTGCCATAGCTGGGGTACTGAGCTGGCGGTGGCCTGTGTGCAAGAGAAAACAGGAGGGACCGGAGCGAGTGATTAGGCTCATAGCAATACATGGCAAACCGTCCCTGTCATCTGAGCTGGTGTCGCCCGTGTCGTTGGACATCATGATGCCGCTGGCCAGCTGCCACAGCTGAGGTACTGAGCTGGCAGTGGCCTGTGTGCAAGAGAAAACAGGAGGGATGGGGAGGGAACGATTAGGCTCGTAGCATTGCATGGCAAACCATCCCTGTCGTCCAAGCTGGCCGCTGGCGTTGCTCGTGTCGTTGGTCATCACGATCCGCTGGCCGGCTGCCACAGCTGTGAGACGGAGCTGGCAGTGGCCTGGCGTGTGGAGGGAGGTGGCAGTGGGGGGAAGGGGAGGGAGGGAAGCATGCTTGGAACAGCTCATGGAGAGCCCCTTGACTGAGCTTGCAGGCTGAGAACCTCTTGACTGACAGCACCTTCTGCGTCAACTTTTCACTCACCACTTCACTGCTCTCCCTTCCCACTCACCACTCCTTTGGGGTTCCGATCAAATCGGAGGTTCACTGCTGTCGAATCCACAGCTTGTGCACCACATTGCTGACAGCACCTATTAGGGTGTATCCAATACGTACTGTTAATGTACAGTTACATATATGTAAAAGAATATAACTATGTATATACTACTCCATAACACTCACCACTCCTTTAGGGTTGCGGTCGGACCGCTGCCACTTCCACAGCTTGTGCACCGCGTTGCCTGACAGCGCCAGCAGCGCCACGCCCGCGTTGGTGTAGATCAGACGAAGCACCTTGCTGGGCGGCAGACTGTCCGGCAGGCGGGCGGCACGAACCTATGATGTTGGAGAGGAGGGAAGGACAGGAGCAGGCAGGTTGAGCGGAAGGGAGAGAGGAGAGCAGGCACAAGAGGCAATAAATCAGGGCAAATGGCGAGGGCATAGGAGTTGCGAGATGAGAGGGTGGGAAGGAGGATATCAGAGGAAGCAGCTGGGAAGATAACACACGGGAGGAGGGGCACCAAGAACTCAGAGATCCCACGAAAGGGCGAGAAAGGGGAGGGCGCACCTGTGAGGGCTCTAAGAATTCAGTGAGCTTCCAGCCCTTCTTATCGGACCCATCCTCCTGGAGCCTCTGTGCCGTGAGAGGGGAGAAAGCCCCGGGAACGGAGAGCAGTGAGGGGGAAGAGAGCCCGGGGGAGAGGGAGAGGGATGAGGTGGGAGAGAGGAAGGGGGGAGCCAAGGAGGAGGATGATGAGAAGAGAGGCTTGCGAAAAAGATTGGGGGGGAGGAGGAAAAATACCACATGCATTTCCGTTGGAAGTATCCAACCGACTTTTGAGTCGACTCAAAAGACCATACGCATTTCTTCCATCGTAAGCACCCAGCCTCAACAAGAACCTAAAAGTAACACTTACCGATGCCGTAAGGGCTGAAGCAGGGGATGACCTATCAACCTGCTGCTGCTGCTGCTGCTGCTGTTGCTGTTGTTGCTGCTGCTGTTGCTGTTGCTGTTGCTGCTGCTGCTGTTGCTGCTGTTGCTGCTGCTGCTGTTGCTGTTGCTGCTGCTGCTGGAGCTGCTGCTGCTGTTGCTGATGCTGCTGCTGTACTGAGGGCGGTTGGGATGGGGGTGGTTGCTGGGACGCCTGAGCCGCAGCAGCAGCAGCGGCGGCTGCTGCTGCAGCTGCTGCTGCCTGCACTGCTTGCTGCTGCTGCTGCTGTGAGGGGGGCTGGGGCAGGGCTTGTGGTAACGGCTGTTATCAGCAGACGAATGGGGAGAGGGAGGCACGCACACGCATTAACAGAGAGGGTCAAGGAGGGTACGAATACATTTTAGGAAGAGAACGAAAAGGGAGTGTAGGGGGGGACAGGGGAGGGGGAGAGACGATGCATTGTACAGAGAAGGAAGGGGGCGGAGGATCTGGCTGAACAAGTGAGACAGTCAAAGGCACGGGCAGAAGCAACGG